GCGGTAGTGAGGTTGGCCCAGGATCGGACATTGTTTTGTTCTGCTGTGCATGGGGTCGCTATGAGTCGGTTCCGACTCCATGGCACCTGACAACAACAACAACAATGAGGAAGACAGATTCTTTTGGAAATTACACAAATAATTACACTGCTATAAAAAGAACAATATTCAGTAATGATTTCCAAGTTCTGGAAGGATCAGGCAGAGGGCAAAAAAAGTTTCATTTCTGTTTAGAAAAGTACAATCTACTAAATTGTAATGGTATATAGAAACCCTGTGAGTAGGAACCAAATGCGATGGCACTTAACAATAACAGGCAGTTTAAGATAAATGGGAAGGAATTCCTTACACCTAGAAAATAGAATATCAAAGCTTCAGCAATATTCCAAACAACATCAGTTGTTAACTCATCAGTTAATTCACTCCTATGTAGTTAATTGTCTCTCTGCTTGATCTAGGATTAGCAGTTTTACAAACCTATCAGTATCTCCACTTGTTAGCTGCTGATAAGTCAGCCCCTACTTAGTTCTTTCTGAGGCAAAGTGAAACAGAGGTTATAATATTTTCACCTCATAGGGTGGTTGTGAGGGTTAAATGAGGTAACACGTATTTAAGTGTGTGTCTGTTGTATGAAAAATACTAAAATTTTGCTATAATGAATATATAACCATAAACCATGTCACTTGGGGAAAAAAAGCTGCTGCTCAGATGTGTAACAATAGGGGTTATTTAATGAATTTTTCAATATTTACTTTAGTAAAAATCATTTTTATTTGACTGTATAATTTGTGTTTGACTTTATGGTAAACTTCTTGTCTTCTGGCAAATGAAAATTACCTCATAGTGTTTAATAGTATTTTATGTGGATGTTTTTACCAAAAACGATGAATACTGTTGATGTATCTTTCTTTAGTGAGGTTAATTACCATTGCCAGTTGTTGTTGTTGTTGTTAAGTGCTGTTGAGTCAGTTCCAACCCAGTGACCCTGTATAGGGTTACCAAGGAGCAGTTGGTGAGCTTGAACCGCTGACCTTGCAGTTCAAATGGCTTTGCAGTCTGGCACATTAACCCACAGCGCCATACCAGGACTCCCTCATTGCCAGTATAACATGACATATACAAAAATATCCTGTACTCTAATGTGCAAAGCATGTAAAGTATGATTCATAGCTACAATATGAGAGCATTTCAAAAAGTTCATAGAAAAATTCGATTATCTTTTAATTCCATTTTTTTCATAAACTTGTGAAACCTCCTCTCTATATATTTACCCAATTCAAAATCAAACACTAATATAGTCATCATATTCATTGTAAAAGTGTTCAAACTTTTCATTTAAATCAAATCACTACGTTTCTTTAAAGCTTCCTGTGAGATAGTCACTGGGCTATATATTATAGTAGATGCTAAAGATGTCTCTGTGTAGCTTCTTATGTAGCTGGGATGGTCTTGGCCTGAATGAAAAACCCAAGAAAGTTAAAAAGTAGAGGATTTATAAGTGCTAAATTGGAAGGCAAAAGTCATAAAGAGCTACAGAAATTCAGAGGTTTATTAGGATAGGAAAATGGTTAAGGAAAGTTATTCATAGGAGAAGGGAAGAAGCAGTTTGTCAATTAATATTCAAGATGGCTTCAAAAAGTTTGTGGGAAAATTCCTTTATCTTTTAATTCTACTTTCCGCAAACTTTTAGAAGCCTCTCATATGTTAACTTCTCTGTGCCTCCTAGGTTTCTGTTTATGAAATTTAAGGCATTTAAACGGTCTATGAAATCTACATGAGGTGGAATTGAGCTGAGTTTTTAAAAATGGGCAGACTTTCATGGGTAAAAATGATTCAAGTGACATGATTAGCCAAACAAAAACTAAACCAAAGAAAAACAGTCTTGCTGTCTTGTCAAGTCTGTTCCAATTTGTGGCAACTTCATGTGCCTCCCAGCCAAAGCCAGAGACGAGACTATTTCAATTAGTAGAGCTATAAGAAGAACCCTTGTACATCAAGAGGAAAGTTTAGTTAGTTGATGTTGTTGTTGTTAAGTACTGTGGAGTTGGTTCCCACTCAGAGTGACCCTGCACAGGGTTTCCGAGGCTGTAAATCTTTACAGGAGCAGAACGCCTCATCTTTCTCTTGCAGAGACGCTGTTAATTTTGAACTGCTGACCTTGAGGTTGGCAGCCTGACTTGTAATCACTACTCTAAGTAGTCACACATAATTAGATAATTTATAGAAAAACAATTTTTATTTTTTATATGTCAAAATAGGAGCTCTGGTTGCATAGTGGTTGCAAATCCGGCTGCGAACTGCAAGTCAGCCAGTTCGAAACTACCAGCTGTTCCGCAGGAGAAAGATGAGGCTTTCTGCTTCCATAAAGATTTATAGCCTCAGAAACCCTGTACAGGGTTGCTGTGAGTTGGAACCAGCTCCACGGCACATAACTACCACAACCACATGTCAAAATAACTTTTCCTTGAGTCTTTTTCTCAGCAACCTGGCTCCAGAGATAATCCAAGACAACTGATCCTTCAATATAGTCAAGATTCTTTAGAACAATAAACAAAGCATAGTTAAAGAATGCCTCAAAGTCTTGAACTCAATTATAGCACGCTGCTTACTTGCTTACAAGGAAGATAAAGCAATATATTGATTTCACCCCACAAAGACAAGATTTAATAAGGGAAAGAGAACTGAGAAAAGTAACTGTAGTTGGGAAGCATGAATCTTGCTTGCACGTATTTTATAAGATGATATTCGCCTATAGCTAGTGGAGGTCAATTTGTATCGTATGTCCTTGTGGAGGTATAACCAAAGCTCAATTGTCTATGAATTTTCCAGAAAACCTTCGCAAGTTCAGCCATGAAGCTGTGTGACTGAAGTGTTCTCTGTAATGTTGGCCAGTGTTCTTCCATTAACATCTCATCCTTAGATTATTTCTGTACTACTTTTCGTATTAGAAATCTCATTATACCTGTTTTCTCTCTAAATCCATCTCATTGGATCCTCTTCTGAGCCTTTGTTTGAAAGTGCTCAAAATCTGGGGTGCTTCCTAAGTGTTTCTGCTATAACAAATCATAGTCATAGTTGTTTCTCTAATATGAATTTAAGGCAATAAACATAAATGTTGTTGTTGTTGAATGCCGTTGAGCTGGTTTCAACTCGTAGTGTCCCTGTATAGGGTTTCTAAGGAGTGACTGGCGTGTTTGAACCGTCAACCTTGTGGTTCAAACTGACCTTGTGGTCCAGTGCTATCCCAAAGCACCACACCAGGACTCCTTAGTCAAGACTTAAATTTCCCTTCGGTTTTACATTTTTCAAAGGATTAACAACCGTACTTTCACATCCCAACAAACCAAAACAGAGGATAGTGACATCACTATCAAATTAATTCTATGTAGAAACAGGCTTGAATGGATACTAGCTAAACCTTCTTACTTCATATAAGCAAATCTTTTAATACTTTAGGTGGTTGCCAACAGCTGGCTATTCACTGCAGTGAATTACCAGAGAAGCACATTTTGGCAATATTTCTGGCTTTCTGCCAACAAGTATTTTATAGCAGGAATTCCTTTTACATTAAGATTATCATCTAAGTATAAACAATAAATAATATGCCTCATTTTAGAGATTAAAATTCCTTTGAAATATTATAAAGAGAAAGTTTGTATGTTTGTGTATGGGATGAGGAGGGATGTCACTTCTAAGTAAGAAAAATACATTTTGCAACCCACATTAGTTAAAAGAGGAAATATTGTCTAATTGCTTCATAGATATTTAACTTTAAAATTATCTTTTAATTATATCTTCTTAGGATGATAACATTTACCATTTCTGATGTTCTAAATTTTGACTATCAGACTTACCACAGCCAACACTCCTTTTCTTAAAAATCAAGATCTGTACATTTCAATTCTTTGGTAATAGCCATGAATCTATACAAAGAAGGAAAGCATGTGAGTTGCAGATTCCATTTTGCTAATTATAAGCCTTGAGGGTTTCCACTTCATTCTAATCTTACAAGTTTTCATTATCACAGTTCGCACTTTTCTGAGTTTGCTCTACCTCCAATATGTAAATCAAATATTTTTCCCGTTTTGAACAAATTCACATTGTACAATACCAAGACCATATAATACGCTAGGATGACAAGCGCAACAGGGGCGGGGAAGAGGTCAATTCTCGCGCGGTTGTAATATGCAATAGCTTTGACGTCACTTGTTGCCATGGAAACAGCAGCCCAGAAGAAAAGTAGGGTGTTGAGAGGGGCTCAGTGGGGCAGAGCGCAGCTTCCACAGAGGACAAGGACGAGGGACGCTTCTCTCTTGCTCCTCTGACTTCTACCAAAATGAGTGGTCTGGACAGGAACGATAAACTCCCTCTCGCTAATAACCGTGACCTCGCTACTCCAGATCCTACCCCGGGAGACCCAGACCCAAACCAGTACCCGAGGCTCGGAAGGGAAACTGATGTGACACAGGTGATGGCGGACATGGCTGGAGTCACCTTAGAGACCACCGCGAATTCTTTTGACTGTGGCTTCGCACTCCGCTTTCGAGTTCCTATTCATCGTAACCAGGGTCCGACCAAAGCCGTGCAGGAAAAGGCTGCACCTCCGACTGGACGCGCGAAAGCAGCTTCTGCCTCCGTAGCATTTGACCGCAGCATTAAAAATGGTCGTCCTGGTGAAGAGCTGCACAGCTCTGCAGAGGAGAAGGCCCCGGAAGCCTGTGGCGCAGTAGGGTTGGGGTCTCAGATGATGGCTGGGGCGAAGGCCAAGGAAGTGACGACTAAGAAGTGCGCTGTCTTACCGGCCGCGGAAAAGAAGAGAGAAGCCGAGGGGGCGGTGGTAGTGGGAAAGAAGATGTTACAAAAGGAAAGAAAAGCGGTAGGGGAGATGAAAGAAGAAAAAGGGGCCAGAATACCGAAGATCAATAACTGCATGGATTCATTAGAGGCCATTGATGAGGAGCTGTCAAACGTAAATGCCCAGGCTGACCGTGCCTTCCATCAGCTGGAGCGCAAATTTGGCCGTATGCGAAGGCTCCATATGCAGCGCAGGAGTTTCATCATCCAGAATATCCCAGCTTTCTGGGTCACTGCCTTTCGGAACCACTCCCAGCTATCACCGATGATCAGTGGTCAAGATGAAGATATGATGAAGTACATGATCAATTTGGAGGTGGAGGAGCTTAAACACCCCAGAGCTGGCTGCAAATTCAAATTCATCTTTCATTGCAACCCCTACTTCCGAAATGAAGCACTTGTCAAGGAATATGAGCGCAGGTCCTCTGGCCGAATCGTGTGTCTTGCCACTCCAATCCGATGGCACCAGAGCCAAGATCCCCAAACTCACATCCACAAGAATCGGGAGGGAAACACAATCCACAGCTTCTTCAAGTGGTTCTCGGACAACAGTCTCCTAGAATTCGACAAGATTGCTGAGATCATCAAAGGGGAACTGTGGCCCAATCCCTTGCAATACTACCTGATGGGTGAAGGAGCCCGCAGAGGAATGCAAGACCCAGCAAGGCAGCCAGTGGAGAACCCCCTGTCCTTCAGGTTCCAGTCCGGCTAACTTCTACCCTTGTGAGAAGCTACTCAACAGGTTTCCTTACCACGTCCTTTTGGGCCTGTGCCTAGCCAACAGCATGCAATCTTCCATCGGCTTTCTGTTCCTACTGGATTGTCTTTGGTTCTCTTAAATTCTTAAGTTGCAAGATTGTCACCTCTGTGTCTGTACTCTTCTGCTTCCTCTCAGCCTTCCCTGCTTTTCTGCATCATGGTCTGTCACTACTCTGTGCCAAGCAACATGATGCTATAGATAGGCACTGCCTTCCTTTGCCTGGCTTAGATTCATTTTGTGACTGTGGTCCTCTCGTTTTGTTTTTTTGTTTGTTTGTTGTTGTTGTTTTTTAAAATGTGGTTATCTACAAGGAAGCTTGATAGGTCTTTGCAGACAACTAGTTGGACCCATGCCTTATGCTAACTGCTCCTGATACCCTCGCACTCTACCAAAAGCTTTTGCATTCTACCACTGTAAGATATGGCTAATACAGATGACACCAGCCATCAACCCAAACTGGACATTCTAGGCCTCCATCAACTGGATCCCAGCCTATCCAGTCATCAACTGCTGGTTATCTGGACAGCTGCTAGACATGAATGAAGTAAAGGACAAGAAGTGTTCTATGTTATCACGTTGCTTTTCCTGTGCCTCAGTCACCCTGCATGGGGATCAGCTACTGGTGAGTCTGTGAAGTCCTGTGGTATGGCCCACCCCTATTTACTCTTACCCCTTGGATGCCTCCTGAGTACTGTCTGTTGACTCAGGCTTCCCAGACAGCACACAAGAAAAAATCCTGTCCTCAACCCCCAAGTATCCTTCCTACCTCCTCAACCTCAAATGATTATCCATTAACCAACTCTGCCTTCAGGCAGGTTAGGCAGTTAAATGTGCCAATGCCCAGAGTAAAGAGGGGATAGGGTCCCTTCCAACAGTCAGCTTTTCTGAACCCCAGCCAAGGAATAACACATAATCTTGGTAACTTTGTTAGGTGCCTCCCCTCCCCTACCTTGTCTCCCTTCCTGCACTGACTGAATATGACAAGTGTGTTAGTATGGCAAGAGTGCCACTGACAAAGAGACTTCTCGCTCTCTAAAGCAGCTGCAGGTCAGACACAGAAAACAAAACTGGCAGGCAATACAGGCCTTTTGTTATTTTGTTTAATTGTGTGGAAACTAAGAGTTCATCTCTCTTACTGCCCTCTCATGCCTCTATCCCACTTCCTTTAGCAAGATAGATCTATACTTTCAAAGGGTAATTGCTAAGTTATGAACAGTGTTCTTTTTAAGCTAATTTTGACAACCCCTCACTTTTTCCTTATCCCATATGCCAAAACCTGCTCGGGTGTGTTCGTGAGCTTTAGTTTGAGAAATGGGGAAAGAAAATAACAGAGCAGGTTGTGATTTCAAGCAAGTAAAACTAGCTTCAGAATTCCATTTTTCAAAAGGTGGACATTCTCTTTTGGGCCTTGGACTACTAAGAGGTATAACCCTTCCTTGTTTTATAGCCTGAAGTACCCAGGCCACATTGTGGGTACTTAAGGCTATGAAACAAGCCCCTCAGCAGAACTGTTCCTGGAAAGCCTGTAGGGTCAGTGGGGAAGGGGAGGCCCTGGGTATGTTACCAGGCAGGGATGCATGGAGAATCCATAGGGAATGCAAAGAGGTTAGGGTTTGAATAGGGTACTTGGAAGAGGGGTTTCTTCCAATATCCCCTAACTCTTTTAATTCACTAGTAGATTTTTGTAAATAAAAATACAAGTTTTGATGTTTTCTTTCTGTTGTTCTAGGAATTCCTTTTTATATGTGGTGGATTAGTGTAATACATGCGCCTTATGTCACATATGTTTTTGAGTAAAAGCCTATTAATTCCTTTCTCCATTTCTGCATACTGGGGAAATTGACGTTTACAGACCTGCTGTTTGCTTGTAATTGAGAATGTTTGCAAAAAATAACAGTTTTGTTTTCCCTGCAGTATGAAGACTTACGTGACTATTCACTTAAATATCTGCTTGTTCTAGTCTCTGTTTATCTGTAGATCTAATCATAGAAATATAATTCAAATAATGTGATTATTATAGTGTCTGAAGATTTTGGAAATTGTTGCTATATCTTGAATGTAATCACAAAAAGAAAATCATAATTGTTGTCTTACTTGATGATTTCTTGCTCTGGTAATAATAATGTTGTACTTGATGTTTTATGTTTCTAACCAATATAAGGACTTGTAGAATTGCTGTCAAACTACTTGAGAACTGTTAGTGTTTTTTGTCTTCTCCTATGTACTTGAAGGAAAAATAAAGTTTGTCACACTGTTACAGTTATTTTTCATCAAAAATAAAAGTAAAAATGAAAGTCTGTCTGCATTGTCTCAGGGGGGAAATCATTACAGTTAACAATTGACCACAGTAAGCATTATCTTCAAAGTTTAAAAAAAAAGAAGAAAGATAATAATCCCCAAATCTTCTAGGAATATTTTTGCTTAAAAATGTGGTAAGTCCAACTCAGCTGTATGAACATAATTTTGTGGGTTTTGAGTGGTAATTGAAGCATCATATGTTGTTTTTGTCAGTGGACAACTGCTCTTACTATTTCATCTCCTGTTTATGAATTTACATTAACTGTGACCCCAACGATCTCATTTTCTTCTTAATTAGTGTAAAATGAATTTTGAGAAGAATGGATCCTTGCCATTGTATCTGTGAATGTTTCTTACTGTTTTCCCTACCATAATGTGGTGCTTCAAAGGAAAAAGCAACTAAAAATTTATGGTCTAAATATAATGTCTAGAGATATACTATTACTTAAGTTGCCAATGACAGTTTTGCTTTTCAGTAGCTGTTGTTACATGAAGGCTTGGGGATAAACACTTCAGCATCTGCATTCCCTGTAGTAGGGAGGCCAATAGATGCTGCAAAATCTATAAAAATCATCAAGTAGTTTTAGCCATCTCAACAAAAATTTGACATAAAAGGCCCCAAACTTATAATTAGAGTCTTAAGCATGAAGCTAAGGCGCTCTGGGAGTGTAATGGTTATGAATCGGGCTGCGAACCACAAGGTCAGCAGTTCTAAACTACCGGCTGCTCGGTGGGAGAAAGATGAGGCTTTCTGCTCCCATTAAGATTTACAGCCTCAGAAACCCTGTTCAAGGTTGCTATGGGTCTGAACGGACTTGAAGGCATTTAACAACAACAACAATCATGAAGTTAACAATTGAATAGATGTGCTTACTCAGTGCAATTCTTATTTGCAAGTTTTACTTGTTGAGGTGTAATTTTTCTAGGCTAGAAGAGCTTTAAATATTTAGAGAACTAGTTTCTTTTTTTTTGCAAGCTGTACACACTTCTTAATCCTTAATTTTTCTCCCTGTGTTCATTCTGCCTTTTCAGTTAAGTGTTTGTTTTCTATAGTGTTAATCTTCAAGCATTATCCTTTTTCTATCCTTGTTCTTGACCAGAAAATGGCATTTTTGTTGTACTTGTTTTTTTCCCCAATTTTATTCTAACCTATATTTATTGTTCCAACAGGCTGGTGCCATTTTCATTTGTTAACAGAGGAACATGGTTTCTGTTCTGCTTAGCCTAATAAAGTGACTCATTAAATTGGACTCAGGTACTCTACTCAAAGCCTCCACACACCCCTCCCCCTCCCCCCACTTTCTTAATCCCCGTTTTCTTAATCATTTTTATACAGCCTTCCAAACTAGTTAGAGGCCCACTTATCCTTTCATCAGCAAAGCAATAGTATCATTTTGGTCTATCTAGGTCAGGGATGGGAAACCTTATTTTTGCCAAGGGCCATTTAGATATTGTGAACATCATTTGCAGGCTATACAGAATTATCAGCTTAAAAATTAGCCTGCTATATTTGGTCAAATGTTTAAATTAACTCACTCCTAATGTGATGGCTAGAACTGCGGTTGCCTTGGCAGAGTTAGACTAAATGATTTCGGGGGTGGGCCTTATAACTGCGTGTCAAACATCCCCACCCCTGGGCTAGGCCCTATTGCCCTGAGTGGTGGTGGTAATTGTATGCCTTCGTGTTGCGTTTCCAAAGGTATACATCTTTACAAAAGCAAAAAGTCTCATCTTTCCCTTGAGAAGCAGCTGGTGGATTCAGATTGCTAACCTTGTGGTTAGCAGCTCTACCCATAACCCACTGCCACCAGAGCTCCTTTGAGTAGTAGTGGCATATTTCATAATTTCTCTGATCTGCACTTAAAATAATTTTCTTAGGTTTCCTTTTCTATGTCTGGACATTCAATTCAGATCAGACACCCACAGAAACTTCTCTGACCTTCCTTACAGGCCTCGTGTAGCAGCTTTATCTCCAGTTGACTCAAGCAAGCTTAAAAGAAATTTTATCTTTTTAAACAATAAAACATTTACCTCTTTTCTGAATCATTATGATCTTGCCCCATAGAGTCACATTTCAAGGCTTGGATATCTGATTTTGTTTCAGGTAAACATTCCTGGCTTCACAATCTCAACAGGTTAGGTACTTCCATATGTGCTCTCATTTTACCTTTGTAAATGAATTTTCCTATCTTTATTTACTATCGTTATTTAAATAGCTGAAACAATAAAGGCTCAGAAAGTTGAATTACCCAAGATGGAAGTCACACAAACTTCAAGTTTTCTGATTTCAAGCAGAAGTGTCTTCCATTTTGTCACAACCATCTGTACTAAATTTGGCTTAAAAACATAACAACAACTCTATTTGCACATGGGTGTTCAGGCCCTGTGGATCAAAATGGTCCAATCTGCCACCCATTGTGGGAATGGTGCAGGACTGGGCAGGGTTTTGATTCATTGTGCATGCTGAAAACAACATTCATGTCTTGGAAGTCTCTGGATGGTGGAAACAAAGGGCTCAGCTGCTAACTAAACGATTGAGTGGAGGTTTGAGTCTACCCAGAGAGATGCTTCAGAAGAAAGGCACGGCAGTCTATTTTCAAAAAAATTGCCACTGAAAACACTGGGGAGCATACCTCTACGTCACCACAGATGAG